ACTAGTAAGGGAACACTCTTTGCATACAAGCAACACCGAATCCGAAGAGAAATTTCAAAAGAAACAAATAATGATCAATACAATAGAGACTCTAAGCACAAAACCACCGTCGAAACTATCAGTTGCATCAAAATAAATGCATCAATGCCACCATAAGACTTGAACAATAGACACAAGCCCAAAAGAGCAAAAATTCAACACGAACAAAAGCCGCATTATAAACTAAAAAACCCACACCACAAAAATCATCCTATCTCTTGCCAAACTCGCACTACCAAAAGAAAAAAAAGGCTTAAGAGGGAGGATCTGGGGACAAAGTGGGATTGAAAAATGACAAAATAAATAAGTGATAGATAACTCAAATCTTAGCTAGCTTAGACAAAGATTTAGTCACCATAAGGGGGACTATTATTCACTACGATAAATTAGAAAAGTGAAAAGATGGAGTGGAGGGGAGGAGGAAAGGCAAAATTGCTTCTCCTTCCTCCCTCTACGATGACATTTGCTTTAGGTTTTCTCTGGAGGATAGGATTATTTTTACCATACGCATATTCTTTTTTTCAATAATTTCATACTTAATTTATATGATTATGTATATGCACTAGGCATGAATTTATAAGAAGACAAGTTCCTAGCCTTTTTATTTATGATTTGTTTAGACAGATCGACATGTTACACTAGACTCGATATTCACTCAAGAGCATTGAAGCATATAATTTCAATTTTATTTATGATCTAGTTAACAACATAACATGTTTACTGTCTGACAACTTTAATAAAAGATGTGTTGATGTTCATTTCACAGACTGGACACATGATTTTTTAGGAATGCAAAGTGTTCCACTAAAGGTGATTTCCCCATATGAGAGAAAGAATTAACACTTGATTTGGTGAAGAACACAACCCTTATGATCTTGTAAAAATAAAAAGAAAAAAAAAGAGGCCTAACTCATAGTGGAGTTGACATACAGTCTTTTAACAGATGAAAATGGAAACTACAGAGGCCCTTTGAAGGGAAATGTTGCAGGACCCTTAAAGGGAAATGTTGCAGGGTAAAAGTCTTAAAATTAAGAGCAGAAACAGATCTATGGATTTTTCATATTTTTTGTTGTTTGAAGCAGTTGGTTTGCCTTCGGTTATAGTCTAACGAGCTGAAGATGTTTCTGACAAGAATGATAGTAACCCGAACCTTTATACTTTGGTCAACTTTGGAGCAGAAACTAAGATAACCAAGGTAAGCATATTAATTAGCACTCCTAAGCACCTCATATATCTTGTTTTCGCAGAAACTATTATATATACCAGTTAAAGAGAGATATTCTTTGCAGGGCTTTACCGCAGTGGCAAATAGCAATAATGTCTATGCATTTTGGTGTAAGTATGATCACTATTGATCCCCGTTTGTCAAAAAACAAAAAAAAAGAAAATGCTCGCTGAAGGAGAAGATCCACAATGAAGTAAAGAGTAGGAGAAGATTTGGTTTTCATCGATAGGTTGGTTCTTTTACCATATTCGCTTAATCATTTTAGGTTTATTATTTATTGAACTAAAACCATCTAATTTCTACTATTTATTTAGTGATGTGGTATACAATGGCGCATTAGAGGGAAGTACAATTTCATAAACTAAAAAAATGGAGTAATTTCATAACACTACGTGTGTATGAAGAAATTTAAGATTATTAAAGAATTTTAAAATGACAAAAATTGAAATGACGGAATTTTATTTTCTAGAGTTTGTGAATTTTTTTGTTTGGTTAACCTAAAAGAACAATGGAATTGAATACGAAATTTATTATTTTTAAACTTCAATCATAGAAATTGGGAAATAACACCTATCTACATGAAATTTAAACTTGGGAATTGAAGGTCCCAAATTCTAAGTTTTTTTCGAAGCGGAAATTCTAAATTTCTATGTTTATGAATCCAAACAAGGGAATTGGTGCATGTCAATTTATAAATTCTGACTTTTATCTAAATTCTAAGTTTATTTTCCTCATCTAATCGTAGTAGAAGAGTTTTGCTAGCAATTGTTTCCATTAATTGACTGAAAGTGTATGATTGGTATCATTCAACATAAGATGTGCAGATACACGCAAATCCATATTTTGTTTGTCGTGACTAGATTTTAAAACCACCTTGTATAAGACGAAATCATTCATTATATGATTAGATGTTGTATAGTGATATGAATGAGACCATATGTTTTTATTTACCAAATTGATTTTTCTTTTATTAGCTTGCTTTTGATCTAGAGGTTCTTATATTTAATTTATTTTTTATAGAGCGATAACATATATGATTTAAATAGTTAGTTGTTAGGGGGTGAGGAGAATCAATGAGAATTGAACCTTCACCGAGGACATGATTATTTTCCGCCACTATAGTAAAGTTTCATCTACACTCTTTTTATTGTTTTTGTATTTTAAAAGAAGCGATCAAAATAATGTACTTAGAAAAAAAAAACCTCTCCGCTACTAAAAGAACGCAAGATAAAAAACCTCTAGTCGCCAACCCCTACCTTTAGCGTGGGGTTGGTGGTAATCTTTCTTGATCTCTTTTTTTTCTCTCTCTTTGTTTTAGTTGTAGTCGCTCTCTCACTCTATCGGGTAACGCCTTCAATCGTGGTTATGGTCGCTTTCTCGCTTTGTCGATGAGATATTTTGTGGTTATGGCCATGGTTGTGCTCAACAAAGGACTATAAGAAAGAACCCCGACATTTGATGGGGGCGACTCATAGTAGGGCTTCTTTACCAACAATTGCAAAATCGTCGACGTTTGTTGGTGAGGTCTTTTTCTCAAGGAGCCTCTATGATAATTCTTGAGCATGCACTGTTTAGGTCCTCGTGACTAGGGTTTAGGCTAAGTGTCTTCCATAATTGAAGAATCATATTGTATGTGTTAGTAGTTGTAAGGTTGTGATGTTCTTTCAACATGTATAGTATCTTAAATATTCTAAAAGAAACGTTTAACATGTCTGTCATATGTACGTTTTCCTATCATTTTTAATGAAATTTCTTTTGCTAAAAAGAAAAGCGGTAAAATATTGATTTGAAAATACTTACTTAAAGACTTATAGGTTGCTCAATTAATACAACATAAAAAGGAAAATTAGACAAACTTAAATTGAGTTTCTATAATTAATACTCGAACAATTGGCTAAATTTTGTATGGTAACGTTTACAAAATGATTTTTGGAAAAGTATATTAGAATACGAAAAATTTATAATGTTTTGCAAGTAGTTGTAGCTCAATTGATTAAGAGCATTTGTTTTCTCTCTCCGCCGTTCAGATGAATTTAATACAGATTGTCCTATTGTTTGTAAAACAAGGTATTTTAAAATATATTTTAGAAACGAAAAGAGTAATTTTTTTTTCATTCTTATGATTTGAGAATGCATATGATAGTTTAGTATGAGAAGAATCATTTGAGAAAGAAAACATCGGAAACGTGCCAGATACCATCATTTAAATGGGAAAAAAACAAAATTCGTGTTTGCTAATGTTTTTCCTTCTTTTGTTAAAAATGAATGGCTAGGAAGCAAATAAATATATAAAAACTCATAATGGGGTTTAGGGATAGTCATGATTTCGGCGGAGATTGTGGTGGGGATGGTAGTTGTTGCAAGATTGGTGCTAGTGGCAATAGTGGTTGCGGGTGGCTTGGCAATGCTGTGGTGGCAATGGAGGGCACTAGTGGTGTAAGTGATGGTAGGGGTGGCGACAACCATGATGTAATGGTGGTGAAAGGTATTTGTAATAATAATGGTTTGGTGAGAGTAACGTAAATGGTGGATGTGGTGGTGGCAGAGATGGTGGCGATGGCAGTTCTAATGGGGTAGTGACAATGATGTTGGTGGCTACAGCGGTGCTGATGGGGTGCTACTAACTACACCAAACTAACAGATTTCAAAATATAGAGTTTAGCTTTATATGTAACTGACCCAAATTGTTGGGATCAATTATTATTTATTTATTTTTTGACAATATGAAAATTATTTCTTTATAAGAGATTTCATTGTATTCTAATTTTTTTTTGAACAAACGTTATTATCCATAGGAGAAAGAATAGACTTAGCCTTACTATGAGCTAGCAATAATGTGGTTCAAATTCGTCTTTAACGAGAATCGAACCTACCTTTCACTTACAAGTGAAATACCACTAAATCATAGTACTAAGTGGTTATTATATTTTAACTTTTAAGTAAACATGCCAACAGAGCACATCTACGCAGAAAATGGATTGAGTCCATCTTGGACTTCAAACAAGGTCTCCACACTTCCAACTAGTTCCAAGTCAACCGTGCCAATGAGGGGGTTTAAAGCTTATATTTTAAGCTTTATTTAATGGATTGAAGATGGTCTTAGGGGGGAGAGAAGAATTAGTGAGAATTGAACCCGCACCAGAGACATAATTGTTTTCCGTCACTATGGTAAAGTGTCATCTGCACTCTTTCTATTATTTTTGTATTTTAAAAGAAGCGATAAAAGTAATGTATTGCAAAAGAAAAAGAAAAAAAAAAAAAAAAAAAAAAAAAAAAAAAACTCCCTGCTGCTAAAAAAAACAGGAGAAAAAACCCTAGCCGTCAACCCCTGCCTTTAGCGTTTTAAATTTGAGCTTGGGTAGACTAACAGAGCCCATCTATGCAGAAAATGGATTAAGCCCAGCCCATCTTGGACTTCAAATGAGGTCTCCACACTTCCAACTAGTTCCAAGTCAACAGTGCCAATTGGCAAGCACTCGAAATATCTTATGCCCTTTTTGTCCTCATCTCTGCCCTCCCCATCTAATATCTCACATCTACCTCAACAGCTGGCAACTACAATCTGAAATCAACGGCCATGATCTAACACCAAATGGGCAAAGTGGGCATTGGTCATAACCCTCCAGCTTCCTGCCCTGACTACCCCAGATCATTATCCGTAAATCTGACCAACCCCAGGGGCATTTACGTCACATAAAATATCCAAATCTTCTTCATAAACCCTATCTTGATCCGTTCTCTCTAAAATCTTCTTCTCTTCTTTGCAACCTTATCTGTAAAGAGGCAAAACCAGAAGCAGAGCAAAATCACCATGACTGCCTCCACAGCTACCCTCGCTCTTCCTTCTCTTTCGCCCAAAACCCTAGCCCTCTACACCCCCAAAGCCGCCTCAATCTCGCTCTACTCCGCCCTAGCGCTCGGCTGTAAACCCATTTCAATTTCGGCCTCGTTTCTCAACTCCGGGAAGGGGTTTCAAAGCGTTTCGTCTCGGTTCGTCCGAAACGTCGCCGTCTCATCCGAGTTCGAGCAGGATGAGGAGGTCCTCAGCGACGACGGAGAGGCCTCCCCTGAACCCAAACTCTTCGTGGGTAACCTTCCCTTCAGCGTCGATAGCGCTCAGCTCGCTGGAATCTTCGAAAGCGCTGGAAATGTCGAGATGGTCGAGGTAGTTCCTTGTTTTCACTCGAAATTTCGTAACTTTTACCTGAAATTTTGGTGAAAAGTAAAATGGGTTGGTGCTGGTTTTGTGTTTTGTGGGTTAAATATGGAGGTTTTCTTGCAGGTGATATATGACAAGACGACCGGAAGAAGCAGAGGATTTGGATTTGTGACTATGTCCAATGTTCAAGAAGCTGAATCTGCTGCTCGCCAGCTAAATGGCTATGTAAGTCTTCATATTTAAGTCCGACCATTTGCAGATATATTCTTATATATGCGAAAGTGTGAAATTTTGTGAATTTGTATGTTATCAGTAGTTGTATTAATTAACATTCATCGATTGTTCCGAGTCTGGGAGTCATTTGGTTACATTTCAAGTTGAGTACCCTGTTTATTTTATAGAACTATGAGCAAGAGTTTCATGACATTATCGTGAAAGCTATTTCATTGATTGATGTTTGAAATTTGGTCAAAATTATTTCATTCTGAAATGGTTGTTATGGAGCTTGATGTGGATTTTTTGGTGTAGTGATTGGTTGAGTTTCGTAATGGTTTTACTGAGTATTGCCGTCATTTGGATTTATTTCATCCATGAGAAATCTGTGTATTGTATCTAAGCAAGACTTAATGGCATTTGGCAGGAACTTGACGGCAGGGCATTGAGGGTAAACTATGGACCTCCTCCCCCTCGGACTGAGGATTCCTCTTTCAGAGGTGCCAGAGGTCCCAGAGGTGGTGGTGGTTATGACTCTAACAACCGCCTTTACGTGGGTAACCTTGCATGGGGTGTTGACAATTTGGCTCTTGAGAACTTGTTTAGTGAGCAAGGAAAGGTTTTGGAAGCCAAGGTAGTTTTTGACAGGGACAGTGGCAGATCGAGGGGTTTCGGTTTTGTAACTTATGATACTGCTGATGAAATGAACAGTGCCATTGAATCATTGGATGGAGTTGTACGTATATCATTACCTCTTCTTAACAATATTGTTTCCATTTACGTGTACAATATTGTGTTTTATAAATTTTGTTTTCTGCAGGACTTAAATGGAAGATCTATCCGAGTGTCTGCGGCAGAACCTAGGCCGAGGCGTCAGTTTTAAATGTAAACTTTGCAGAGTCATTGGCCATCAGAATACTTGGTGGGTTTCTTTTCTTTCCGTTTGCATTTAGGATCATAATATCTGCTGATACTCATTTCAGATTTTTAGGAGCGGTTAGTGACAAGATCATGCTGCCTTGCGCCATGGTTGGCTTTGTGAGCGGTAGTGGTGGTTTTTTTACATCTGCCTGTAGATGGACAAGAGCAGAGAAGACTGTTTTGAGAGTTGTAAGATTTATATTCCGAGTGACTTGGCCCAGTTAAAGAACTGATTGTGATCAACTTGTTTTGACAGTTTATAGATTTGGTACATCAAAATCATTACTGCATATGCTGCCTCCCCTCTTATGTCATTGAACGATAACATGATTGTTTTGACAGGAAAAATAGAAAACCATTCTGCCACACCTTCAATATCTCTTGAACATGGTAGGTTATCCGTCCTAATATAGTCTTAGACACCAAATGAGCCCTAGTGGTCGTTGTGAGAAGATTAAATTTCAGTGTTGATGGGCTTACCATCTAGCAGAGCTGCTTATTTAAGAGAGATCTTAGTCGTGTAGTTTGGCCCATCAATGGTTGCCATGTGCTCAAAAAAACAACCCGTCCGATAATAACTTGTTACGTGGTGAAATGGTTGTAAGAGAGAACCTCTCTTTAGGTAAGTCTTTTCATTTTTCTACATTGCAATCTATTCCCCCCTCCTTGTAAAAAATAGAAAAAAGAGTGGACTGATTCAGACTAATCAGTGACTTTATGATTCCCACTGCATGCAGACTCCTTAGGTTCCATTGAGAAGGGAATGGAGTAATTTGGAAGAAATGATGTCATAAACTTTTCATCACAAAATGCATTTGAATTTACCTCCCCTCGCTCTTAGTTTTAACATCGATCAATGTCGTATGAAAACATACTTCTATTTTTCGCACACATTTTTATGATTCGTTATATTATACGTTTTTTTTTTCAAATTCTATGTACACTGCACATATTGTACATGTAAGTATGTACTTTTTATGTTTAATACACATAATTTTCATAATTTTTTTTAATAATACATATAAATTCACGTACTCTACATGTATTTCTAACATATTATTGAATAAATTAATATAAATTTTAAAAAGGTCAAACCTTTCGAAGTATTTCTTTAGTAAAGTAGTCGAATAATACACACATATGAATGTTTTTCTGTGTGCCACGTGATCATGCAATTTTTTTTTTTACGGAATTGAAATGGACGGATGACATTGATGTGCACAATTAAACTTCAAGGACGACATTAACCGATATTGAAATTGATCGATCAAAATGAGGAGAAACGTTGACACACGCCGACATGGATATCCAAGTGGACATCGAAGTCAAGGCATGTTGGCTGACACTCGGAAGGACGACAAAGCCAAAATATGGACTAATGTCTAATGGGCTTGCCTATCAGTCTCTTAGCATGACAAGATTTTCCGAAACATATTTCATGAATCTCATAGGGATATTCCTAGTCTTTCTGACTTGCACCAGATGCTCTTTCCCTAACACCACATCGATGTTAGTCTAACTCTGTTTGTCTCTTTCTTTGAGTGTGTAGGTGTCCATCTATTCAGTCTGCGGTGGAAGTCCTTTTGGTTCGGCTCGTTTCGATCAATTCAGTGGGATTATGCCCACCCTAAATTTCAGTAACATTTTGTGATAAAAAAAAACCTATTTGATATAACTAGTAGCAGTTATTTGTTTTCAGTTTTTCTTGTCAATCAAATCTTGACGTTCATGGGGTTATAATTATTTAAAAACCTATTTAATCTTGTAATGTTTAAAAATCCCTAATATTTATAAGAAGCATTACACAAGGAGATATTTACAAGTAATCACAAAAGAAACATCTCAAAGATAATTTACACAACATGAAGTGATACCTCAAAGATAATAAAAATAAAAATCTGAAAATTCTTTGAAATTGTTGATTGCAATTGAAAGATTTAAAAGCACAACTAGTTGCAGGTAACTATTGGACCGTTGGAGATGAGCAAGACATGATTGCTAGATTGAACCATAACATTGGTGCACTACAAGGCAAACCCAAGGGGAGACACGATGGGACTTGAGTGTGTGGCACCACATCACATGTGTACACGCATAGTCAGATCCCAAAACATGCCAGCAAGTTCATAGAGAGAATCGAATACAGAACTTCCGAGTAGTGAATAAGTAAATGATCATCATCGAGCTACAAGACCCTAACAAATTTGGCTGGCTCTTGGATTGGGGGTTTCAAATTGTGCATGATACTTGAGTGGTTGGAGAAGGTTTTAACTTTTGTACATGGTGGGTAACAATTATATAGAAGAAAATAGTGTATCATTGTGGTGTCACAGAAGCTGTTAGTGTCTCAGTTCTTGATTGCAATTTGGAAGCCATGTATCATATGCTGGTTCACATGCAGCCTGTGTTAAATAGAAACAGGCCTGGCCCAAAAAACCTGTGTGTTTGAAAGTAAGCAAACAAATATGAGAAACCCACAGGTGGAAAGGAATAGAAATGTGGGATTTGGCCCACTTTTTTCTTTTTTTTTTAACAAAAAATATTATCTATATTAAGGAGGAGGAGGTAAGTTTAGCCTCACAATAATTTAGCAATAATTTGATTCAAATTCGCATTTGACAAAAATCGAACCTAAGACCTCTCACATATAAGTGAAGAGGAATACCACTATGATCTAATACTAAGTAGCACCCACTTTTTAATTTTATTCTTAAAAACAAAACTAAAGCTCCCTAACGTAACTATATCGTTGCATCAAAATAGAAAGAAAAAAAATTAGGCATTTCCACCAGTTACTAATTGTTTTGGGCTGGATGCTTACATTCTAATATTAATTTATCTTCGTACTATCGTAACTACTGTCCTTATTAAACAACCTACTACCTACTTTTTTTTCTTCTCAAACGATAGTTTTTGTTAGATTAAATGTTAGTTATGCCACCGACGGAGTTTGAATCCACGCCGTCATGCAAGAGCTCAACTTATTTTCATCACTGTGGTAAATGGCCACTTGCAACAACCTACTGCCCACTTAGTCATGATTATGAACTAATATCTACTATATAGAGTTAAAGATCGCATTTGTAAAAAAATTAGTTAAATTGAAGATTATTTAATCATTAACTAGTTGTAGTACACACATTATGTATGTGATTTAAAATATTATAAAGAATTAAATTTAATTTGTGTAAAAAAAATTTGTGGATTTGAGAAGTTAGAAAAGTAGGGAAAAAGTAGACATGGGTGCAAATGTGTGTGAGAGACAGTTTAGATATTGAAAGGATGACATCGCTGTGAGGTTTAGAAAAAAAAAATAGTAAAAACTTATTTGTGCAAAATTACTATAATTGTCCATTTTTTTCTTTTTTAATATTTTCTTTCAATTAGTGTAAAGGGGTATAGCAGTAATTTCATTGGTTTTTGGTTGACAAACATGATTCTATTAATATGTATCAAATAAATATATTGTCATCCTGATTAATTTTTTTATTACCTAAAATTCATTGAGTTTTGTAATTAACAAAAATTAATTACCCATTATTTGACTTGCGTTTAAATTTTTTTAATACATTCGCTGTCATGAGCCATGCTAAGAAGATTCTCTTAAAGTGGGACACTTCATGGAGTCTCTGTAACCTCACGGTTTAACGTTAATTCTGATGTCAACGTTATAAAGCATTGTGTCAAAACATGAGGTGGTAGAAAGTTCATAAAGAGTCTATCTTTTGAGAAAGTTCTCACGGTTTAGCATTTCTCTTATAGCGCGTTTACTAACCCGTAATCGGAATGAGAATAAGGAATCCGATTCCAATTTCGGATTAGACATGTGTTTACTAAAATTGGGAGGAATCAAAAGTGTGTGGGGCCCACACAAAAAATGGAATCTAATTCCTTAAATTGGAGGATTTGGATTCCCAACATATACAAGGTATTTGGATTCCGGATTGCCCATGTTAAGGATACTGCAGGACTATCTACTAATCATGAACACAATGTATCAGATTAATACCTAGATACTTAGCTTAGTTGTTAAGTTTTGGTTAGTTAGAGTTTGTTGTATTAGAATGCTTAGTCAGCATTACTGAGTATTTATGTATAACATACAACTTGTACTGAGTATGAAATTAATGAGATTCATTCTTCAACAACCTCAGTCTCTTTCTAGATTCTTTCTCTGTCTAAACTCTCTCTAGAATTTTGTTTTCTTCACAGATCTTTGATTTCTAACATGGTATCATTCGCCGCTGTCTAACGACTTCGATCTTTTCCTTCCGTTTTGTGTGCATTTTCTTACTTCCCAAACAGATCTTTCTCTCTTTCCTTTTCTGCGACTTGTTTGCTGCTTTCATGGCGACTACCTCTGATTCTCCTTCTTCTGGTCCTACATCTCATGGCGAGGTGTCGAATCTGCTTCATCCTTCGATTGGATCGATTACGGTTCAGAATGTTGCTGGCATGATTCCGATTAAACTCAATCTTCATAATTATATTACCTGGCGTAGCTTGTTTCTTCCTGTTCTGAAACGATTCAAGCTTCTAGGTCTCGTTAATGGCGACAATCTATGTCCACCGGAATTTGTTCGTGATTCTTCTGGATCTCAGATTCTCAACCCTGCTCATGAACTTTGGTGTGAACGTGATCAGATTCTGACGATTTGGATCAACTCTACCCTTGCTGAGGATCTTCTTCCGTTGAAGATTGGGATGGCGGATTCGCGATCTCTTTGGCAGTCTCTTGAGCGTCGTTTTGCTGGTGCTTCACGCACTCATGTGCATAGTCTTCGCTCCAAGATCCAGACTATTCAGAAAGGTGACTCTTCGCTGGCCGACTACTTCAACTCCATCAAAGAAATCTCCGATAAACTAGCTGCTGCTGGTGAGCCGATCTCTGAGAAGGATCTTGTAGCCTATATTCTTTCTGGCTTGCCTGATGAGTATGAATCATTTGTTGATTCCATTGAGACGCGATCTGAAGATGTGACTACTGATGAACTTCACGGGCTTCTCCTCAGTAAAGAAATCTCGCTCTAGAAGCGTAAGACTCGATCCTCTTCTTCCTCCTCAGCACCTTTTCATGCTTATACAGCACAACAACATTCCTCTGGCTCCAATTCTTTTCGAGGCAATTCTAGAGGAAAGTTTCAGAATCGGAATCGTTCTCATCAGCCTTGTAACTTTGGTCCTAATCGCAATTTTGGTGGTGTTCTTGGTCCTGCTCCGAATCCGAATCGACCTTCATCCTCTGGTTTTATTCCTAATCACTATCAAGCGAGTTCCTCATCCTTTTCCTCTGGACATTCTCTTCTTGTCAGTTGTGTAATCAGTATGGTCAGGGTGCACTTTCTTGTGGCCGTCTTTCTCAATTTGCTTCTCAGCAATCTCCAGGTTTCACTACTCCTCCTGTCGGTATGTCTGCCATGACTGGTTCCCCTTCTCCAAGCTACTGGCTTACTGATAGTGGTGCTTCCCATCATGTGACTGATCAACTGTTTGTTGGTGATGGTAAAGGTCTCTGCATTTCTCACACTGGATCTGCTCTTATTCGAACTGCTAATGTTGTGTTTAAACTACATGATGTTCTTTTAGTTCCTCAAGCATCTCATAACTTGCTCTCCGTATATCGATTTGTTCATGATAATTGGTGTTCTCTGACATTTGATCCATTTGGATTCTATGTCAAGGACCTACGCACTGGGAGGACGCTTTTCCAGGGCCCCAGTGAAGGAGGTCTCTATCCTTTCTATTGGAATGCATCTAATGGCATATCTGGGATTGCTGTTTCTCCTCATGCTCTTATGATTGCTCAAGCTGACATCAATATTTGGCACAGAAGGCTTGGACATCCTTCTAGTGTTGTTTTAAATAAGATTGTTAATAAAAGTCAACTGCCTGTTGCTGGTTCAGTACATAAACAATCTTTTTGTTCTGATTGTCAATTTGGGAAAGCTTATAGGCTTCCATTTTCTGTTGTACCTTGTACATCCACTAGGCCATTTCATATCATTCATGCTGATGTATGGGGTCCTTCTCCCACTCCTTCATGTACTGGCTATAAATACTATCTTGTTTTGGTTGATGATTTCACCAAATATAGTTGGTTATATCCTTTGCATTTCAAATCTGATGTTTGTTCTGTTCTTAAAACATTTGTTTTGAAAGTTCAGAATTGGTTTGACAGTACGATCCAGTGCTTGCGATCTGATTCCGGGGGTGAGTTTCTCAATTCTGTTTTACAAGGATTTCTTAATACTCAGGGCATTATACACCAGTTGAGTTGTCCTCACACTCCCCAGCAGAATGGTTGTGCCGAAAGGAAACACAGACATATTGTTGAAATGGGTAGGACTTTGTTATCTCACAGTGGTCTGCCATCCAGGTTTTGGGTAGAAGCTTTTCAAACTGCTGTGTATCTCATCAATCGCCTACCTTCTCAGTCTTCATCATGTCCCTGGGAGTTATTGTTCAAGGCTGCACCTAAGTATCACACCTTGAAGACCTTTGGTTGTGCTTGTTACCCTTGGTTGCAACCTTATAGTTCTCACAAACTGGACACAAAGAGCAAGCTCTGTGTATTTTTGGGCTACAGTTTGAATCACAGTGGTTACCGATGCCTCGATCCAGTTACCAACAAGCTGTACATTTCCCGACATGTTGTCTTTGATGAAAATTCCTTCCCCTTTAAGCACCTCCCTACTTCCCCTACTACTTCTTCTTTATCCTCTCTTCCACCATCCGCTCATTCTTTTTCCTTTACCATACCAGTTCCTCCTTCCACACCTTTACCCGTTCCTACTTCTTCTTCTCCAGCACCTACAGAACCTGTATCCCTTGCTCAATCTCCAGCCTCTACCTCCATTGCTCTTTCTCCAGAATCTGCATCCATTGCTCAACCTTCTGCACCTTCTATTCCAGTTAATACTCATACCATGGTTACAAGGGCTAAGGCCGGCATTCACAAGCCTAAAGTGTTCACTGCAACTAAACATCCTCTTCCTCCCACGGTTGATTCCCTTACTGTTATTCCTCCTACTCCAACCACCTACCTGCAAGCTTCTAAGAATGCAAACTGGTTGGCAGCAATGCAGGCTGAGTATCAAGCTCTCCAGTCCACCGGTACTTGGGTTCTAGTTCCTCCTGATCCTCAATATAATTTGGTAGGCTGCAAATGGGTGTTCAAACTCAAACATAAAGCTGATGGTTCTATAGAGCACTACAAAGCTCGGCTTGTGGCCAAGGGATTTCATCAACAAGAAGGCCTTGATTTCTCTGAGACTTTCAGTCCTGTAGCTAAACCTACTACAATTCGTCTTCTCCTCTCTATTGCATTACATATGGTTGGTTTATTCACCAGTTGGATGTGAGTAATGCCTTCCTTCATGGTTCCCTCAAAGAGGCTGTCTACATGGTGCAACCACCTGGTTTTATTGATCCAGCCAATCCTCATCACGTTTGTAAACTGCAAAGATCACTCTATGGTCTCAAACAGGCACCCCGAGCCTGGTATGACGCCTTCTATGGTGCTATTCTCTCATTGGGATTTATTTCTTCCTCCTCTGATACTAGTCTTTTTATCAAGAAAGACTCTACTATTACCTTTATACTGGTTTATGTGGATGATATTATCATCACTGGGAGTTCGCCTACTGTCTGCCAATCCATCATTTCGAAGTTGCAATCTTTTTTTCCTATCAAAGATTTGGGAGATATTCATTATTTCCTTGGCATTGAGGTTCACCGATCCTCTACTGGTCTTATTCTTCATCAATCCAAATATGCTTTGGACTTGCTTAAGAAGACAGATATGCTTGGTATCAAACCTTGTTCTACTCCAGTGAGTTCCAACAAGTTGGATCATTCTGGCACCATTCTTTCCGATCCTGCTTTTTATCGATCAACTGTTGGTGCTCTTCAGTACTTGACATGGACTCGCCCTGATTTGGCTTTTGCGGTGAATCAAGTGTGCCAACACATGCATGCTCCTCGTACTATTCATCTCCAGGCTGTCAAGCGGATCTTACGCTATCTCAAGGGTACTGTTGACTTCGGCTTGTGGTTTAAACCTGGCACTCAGTTTCTCACAGCTTGGTCTGATGCTGATTGGGCAGGTTGTCCAGTTGACCGCCGCTCTACTAGTGGCTATTGTGTTTTCTTGGGTCCAAATCTGATTTCTTGGAGTGCCAAGAAGCAAACCACTGTGGCCCGATCGTCTACTGAAGCAGAATATCGATCTTTAGCCCATACTGCTGCTGAGATCACTTGGGTGTGTAAACTTTTGCAGGACTTCTCTTTTCCTCTTCTTCGCCCTTCTGTGATTTTTTGTGATAATCAAAGTGCTATTGCATTAGCTAAGAACCCTGTTTTTCATGCTCGAACAAAGCATGTTGAGATTGATTATCATTACATCCGCGAAAAATTTCTTCAAGGTCATATCAGCATTCATCATGTGCCTACTCTCCTTCAGATTGCTGATATTTTTACTAAGTCCTTATCTGCATCTCGTTTTGCTACTCTCCGTCACAAGCTTTCAGTTTGTTCTCCTCCCTTCAGCTTGAGGGGGTGTGTTAAGGATACTGCAGGACTATCTACTAATCATGAACACAATGTATCAGATTAATACCTAGATACTTAGCTTAGTTGTTAAGTTTTGGTTAGTTAGAGTTTGTTGTATTAGAATGCTTAGTCAGCATTACTGAGTATTTATGTATAACATACAACTTGTACTGAGTGTGAAATTAATGAGATTCATTCTTCAACAACCTCAGTCTCTCTCTAGATTCTTTCTCTGTCTAAACTCTCTCTAGAATTTTGTTTTCTTCACAGATCTTTGATTTCTAACAGCCCAAGCAATCGGAATGATAATTTTTTTCCCTTTATGCCCTCACTTACTTTCATTATTTCCAAGATTATCCTTTTAACCCTAGACTTATTTTTCTTTTCACCCAACTCATTTTCTATCTTCACCCAGCTCATTTCTTTTCACCCAACCCATGTCCTTCTAGCTCATTAAGCATAATTCTATGCTCATTCACATTATGCACAAACTCCATACATTGCCGAAGAGAAAAAATTACAACTTGAGCGATAAAATTTAGTTATTAAAGTCAATACTTAAATTTATAAAAAAAATAAACAAAATCATTTTAGTATGTCTATGAAATAAAAAAGCAATTTAATTTTTTCTTACTATTATATACTATATCAAATTTTATTAAAAAAAGTATATAAAATATTTGATTTGAGACAAGGGCATTTTAGTAATCATACTGGTTTATATTCCGATTCTGCTGAATTAGTAAACAGCTTTATGGAATTGTATTCCGATTCTGGATAGTTTTAGTAAACAAATTCAACAGGAATCTGATTCTGATTCCACCTCATTTCAATTCCTTCTCAATTCAATTCCTCTCAATTTGATTACGGATTAGTAAACGCGCTATTTGGGCGTGTTTACGTATCCGTAATCGGAATGAGAATGTAAAATTGAATTCCGATTACGGAATACTCCGGTGTTTACTAAACATGGAGGAATAAAAAACGCAATGGGGCCCACACAAATTTTGGAATTCAATTCCTTGTATTGGTGGAATTGGATTCCCTAGATATAGGTGGTAATCTAATTCCTGATTGTTTGGGTAATCGGAATGACACTTTTGTTACCTTTATGCCCTCACTTACTTTTTTTATTTCCAAGACTATCCTTTATTAACCCATTTTGTTATATAGAGTATTTGATTTGGGACAAGGGTATTTTAGTAATCATACTGGTTTATATTCCGATTCTGCTGAATTGGTAAACAACTTTATGAAATTCTATTCCGATTCCTGAACATTTAAGTAAACAGCTTCAATAGAAATCAGATTCTGACTTCTCCTCATTCTAACTCCTCCTCAATTTAATTCCTCCTATTTTCATTACCGTTATGTAAACATGCCATTGGTGTCATGGATGGGGCTGGAGTCGAATCCTATGTCGATAGCCATTATTCATTTTGGGTGCTTCTCATACTCTTTAATGTCTAATGAAGTTGAGG